CCCCAAAACCCCAAAACCCCAAAACCCCAAAACCCCTTTACTCGAAAATTTTTACTCAATTATTTTAAATATGCCGACCGATTCGACAAACACTCTGAAAAAGATTTCGCTCAAATCCACCGCGAAGGCCTTCAAACCCTCCGCTTCCAAAGCCTCTGTTGCTGCTAAACCTACTGGGCCCCCTGTGGCTGTTCCGCCACCAGGTCCTCATCAGAACCCACCTCCAATCCTTCCCCAAGGAGGTATGATCAATATGCCTCCGAACTACAGAGCTCCTCCACCGGCTCCAGTCGCTGCCGGGTACCCTAGCAGACCAAACAATGGGCCAGCCTCTTCTTTGGCGCAGTCAACTATGACTAGGCCAACCAAGGGACTGAATACCGCAGCCAGGGTTTTTAGTATGAAGAAGTCAACCAGAGAGTTCAGACCATCAGGTACACCTCCTTCTTGTCTGAAAAGCATGAACAATCAGCCTTTAAGCATTTTATTTGTCTGAAAGATATTTGAGATAGAGCCAAGGATTTTGGTAGATGAATCTTCTTCATAGGATTCCTTAAGAATCCCAACGCAGGATATCCAATTTTTCAAACCTCACATACAATACCTAACATTTAATTTCTTATCCAAGATTGATTGCTTGGGTGAAAGAATCTTGCTGAAATCTCTCCAGTTAAGATTTTATGAATTTTGGATACAAACCTTAGCTTTCTCTTTAAAACACATACTAAAATTTATATAGCCAAAGCGACTCCAGCAGCTCCAACAAATACTGAAACAGCAAAGACAGAAGCAGCTCCAAAGGCTAGCACTACAACTTCCTCACTGGGAAAGCCAACACTAAGTAAGGGAAGCAGATCTTTTAAGCCCAAGGGGCTTAGCCAGACAGTGGATCCAACCTCTAGACCACCAATTCCCACTCCATCTGAGACATCCAAGATTCAAACTAGTGCTGTTGAGAAGGTAAGTTTGTGATCTAAAATATTTCCTTGAGTGAATCCTCATTCGACCAAACCAACCATTCAAATTCTAAACTCATTTTTGTGATGTAGAAGACACAGGAAACTCCAAAGGAAGATCTCAAAGAAGTAGCTAAGGAAGAAGAGGAAGAAATAGAGAAGACTCAAGAGTCCACCACAAAGGACACCTCATCTCCTACTAAAGACTCATCCAAGGTACCAGAAGCCTCAAAGGAAGCAGAAGATGAAGCTAAAGTTGAAGAGAGAAAGACTAAAGTTGATGAAAAATCAAATGATCCTATTGCTGTTCTCACACAAGCTATGAAGGAGACTAAAAAGTTGCCGCTTGAAGCATTCCTTGCCTTTAGAGATAATGAGATGTGCACTTGTCAGGACGAGGAGCCTAGTTTTGCTAACCCAATAGTCCTCAACAGACCTTATGAAGAGAGGCAATCTGATGCTTTTAGGAAAGGTAGAAAGGGTAATTATAATAACAGCCACCATAAAGGAGGATATGGTGGAAGAAACAACCATAACAACTACAACCAAAACCACAAGAGAGGAGGAAGGAACCATGGAAGACATAATGACAGACACGGCAAAGGTAACTTCAGAGGAAACCAACACGGAGGTGGTCTTGTGAGAAACCCCATCTCTGAAGAGACTAAAGAAATGAAAGAACAAGCCTCTAAGCTAAAAGATCGTCTCAAGAATATTGATAAAGGAAATGTTGAACTCAGAGCTAAGGCTATCCTCAACAAGATTACTCCTGACAACATCAAGTCCCAGAAATCAGAGTTTTATAAAGTTTTGAAGGATTGCTCTACCAGTGATGAAAGACAAAAGGTTGTCAAGATAATTTTTAGAAAAGCCACTTTCGAAGAGAAGTATGTCTCCATGTATGCATCCCTTATCAAATATCTCGGAGAGACAGAATATGATGAGATCAACAACCCTGTTGGTGAAGAGAGCAAAGGAGGAAAATCCGCAGCCAGGAAGGCCAAAGATAGCCCTCTCAAGAAAGAAGTCGTTGAAGAATGCAAAGCATGCTTCTATGAATTCTTTGAAGAAATGAAAATTGATGACGTCAAGGAAGAAGATAGAGAGGAGTTCACCTATAAGTACAAGAAGAGACTCTTTGGAAACCTTACATTTATTGCAGAACTGTACAAGAAGAAGCTTGTTGGTATCAATGTACCAATTGTTGTCCTCAGGACACTCCTAGGTCAAACTGATGAAGAATTTGGACAAAAAGCTAATGAATTTACAGTTGAAGGTGCATGCACATTCTTGAAAAGAGTTGGGTCCAGGTTGGATAAAGCTACTAAGTCTAAATCTAAGAAGGGAGGTGAGGAAAGCCCCACTAAGAAGAAATCTGAAAAGCATCAAGAAACCTTCGAAAATATGCTTGTTGTTCTCAAAGGATACGAGGATAATGAGTATAGTAAATCAAGAGTGGGATATTTGATCAAAAATACCTTAGAAATGAGAGAATCCAACTGGGAAAATAAGGATATTAAGGAAGGCCCAAAAACCAAGAAACAAATCAAGAAGGATCACCAAGCTGCTATGAGGGGAGATGATGACCTACATAAGTCCCCTTCAAAGATGAATAAGAAGCATAGTGTAAAGAAAGGAGGATTTGGAGAGCTTGCAATGCAGAAGACTGAGTCTAGTATGTCTATCATGAGTGAATCAGATAACTACAACATTCCAAAACCAGTCGAAAAAGAATATTCCCCAAGAGAGATGGAGCATATGGATCACGAAGCTATCAAAGATAGATTCATTGGTAACTTCGTCGAATGGATCCAGACCTCTGAGTATAACCTAGAGATGTTCAACAAGCCAGAAAATAAAACTCCAAAGAGCAAGATCTTAGAATTCTTATTAGACAAGCTCTATGATAAGGAAGAAAAGGATGTCAAAAAGTTCCCTGAATACTTCTTCCATTTATTTGAGAAGAAAATGTATGCTAAGAAAGACATTGAGGTAGCTTTAACTGCATTCTTCAAGACCATCCCTGATATCGAAGCTGATTTCCCACATCTTGCTAATCTGTACAGTGACTTGCTCTACTTCATCTTTGTTGAAAAAGACATCGCTGATTTCAGAAAAGTCCACATCAAGATTGAATCTGGAGCAGAAGGAGAAGAGCCAGACGTCTTTATTGAGATTTACTTCAAGATCTTTGCAGCTCTTTTGACCAAGATTCAGGCTAACCTTGGAGATGATAAGCTTGCCCATTACTTCACTCAATTCAAAGTTTCAGAGACATGTAAGATGCTGAAACCCTACATTCTTGAAGATGGATTATTTGACGAAATGATTGAGCAAGGTATCCCAGAAAAAGTTGTTAGCTTAGTGAACGTTGCTACAGAGTAATCCCATTTTTGTATTTATTTAATCGACCAATTCAGATTTCCCAAATTGGGGTTTTGGGGTTTTGGGGTTTTGGGGTTTTGGGG